GAGGGGCGGCGCCCGGCGGCCCCCCCCCCCGGGCCCGCATCTGGAGCCCCACACGCTGATTAATGAGCTTCTCAGGCAGCCACTTGCGACATGGCGAGTGGGTCTGCATGGAGGAAACATGACTTTCCCAGGGATAAAAATAGGCACGGGCAGAGCGACGAGCCCTGGGAGCGATGGCTGGTCAGGGACCGTGGTGCTCCGGCCGGTGCCCAGGGGGAGGCTGGGGGGTTGATGCTGCAGTATCTGTGGTGGCACCGGCACCGCTGTCTGTTCCATCCCCATCCCCGCCGTCTCAGCTGCCCTCAGCCCCCCGGCTGTGCCATGCCATGGGGCTGCCGTCAGAATAGCCCCTTGTGGGAAGTGATGAAATCCTCCTCAGGAGCCCTGTAACCGGCTTAGGGGGATGGAGGGAATTATGGCGCCTCGTGAGCCGGGCTTTGCACGGGAGCACCCAGGTGTCCGGTTAATGGTTAACGGCCCCGGGGCTGGCAGCCAGCCCCATCCCTGCCCGTGGGGCTCCTTGCCCACCTCCATCCCCCGGTGGGTGCCACCGCCAGGCAGCCCTGTGGTGCAAGGGACAGACAGGGTGGTGGCTGCAGCCCTGCGAGGATGCTCAGGCGTGAGGAGAGGTCCTGGTTGTTGCCGGGGTCCTGAGCTCTCAGGGCTCAGCACCAATGTCCCACTGGGCATGAGCACCAGCGTGGGGTGGCCCCGGCCCCTGATCTGCCCTGCACCGGGGCGATGTCCCACGCATGGCCACGCAGGGGCTGGGGAAGGTGCGAGAGCCAGGGCCCGGGGGGGTCTGGTTTGGGCTCAGCGGGCAGAGGGGTGGCGTGGCCACGGTTCCGATGCCATCCTGGGGAGGAAGCGGCAGGAACACAGCGGCTCTTCAGCCTGACGGGAAAATGCACAAACAACTGTCTGCACGTTAAAGCCAGGCGGGGTCGGGCGAGGACGGGGACAGGACTGTGGCGCAGTGACCAGGGCCGGCGCAGCCTCCCCTCTGGTGCCTGCCTGCCCCCGGCAACGCGTCCCCCGGCTCTGCCCCCCGCGGGTCCTGCCGCCCACGTCCCCGTGACCCGGTGTCTCATGCAGGGTCGCCCACGTGCCAGGGCCCTCGCTGCCAGGGCGGAGGAGCTGCCGAGGGCCGGTAGGAAGCCCAGCGCCCCACGCTGCTCCCCATGTGGCT